ACGGCTACAAGTTCCCGCTACGACAGGCGGGAACCCGTTCGGGAGGGAGCTATAGCAGTAACTAAGCTAGTCTCATTTTGAGATATAACTCGTGACTCTTTGAAAAGTGAAAGTTTACGTGGTGGCTCCTTAATATTAGCAGATAAATCATTATTATATAAAGAACGTAAGGATATTGTGAGCCTCTCTGTTGAACGAACTGTAGAAATGGCTTGTGTCGAGCTCGAGCACCTCTTTGTTGTAAGTGTTTACAGACCCCCATGTGCTACTTATGACCATTTTGAAAGGATTGTGGAAGAAGTTTTACTCAAACTTAGTAAACAGAACAAGTCTGTTGTAATGTGTGGAGACTTTAATATCAATCTCCTTGAAACTTCTTCCATTAGTATTAAGTTTAGCTCATTGTTTAAATCGTATAATCTTGTAAATTTATTCTTAGAACCAACACGTATTGCTGGGCCTAGTGCGACCTGTATAGATAACATTTTTACAGATGTTAAGCCCTTGCATAAATCAATTATTCAAAATTTAAGTTCAGATCACTGTGGACAGTTAGTATCACTACCTTACATACACAAAAAACATAAAAATAAGAAAGTTGTGTTTGTTCCAATAAATGAACATCGCTTGGAGAGGTTTAGAAGTAATATAATAAAAAGACTTCCATTACTTTCATTTAAAAATAGTGCTAATTACTTGTATGGTACATTATTTAAAATTATAACTTGTGAATTTAGTAGAATATTTACTTCTAAAACTTTCTCTTTTAACAGTCGCAAATCATTTAATGAATGGGCGACAGTAGGAATTTATAAAAGTAGGCGAAGGTTATACGAGCTTTATGATGAAAGATCATATAATAGTAGTGTTATATTTAGAGATTATGTAAAAACATATTCTAAAATATTTAAAAGTGTGCTCCACTGCTAAGGCTTTACATTTAAGCAACAAAATTAAAACTGCATCCGACAAAATTAAAATGACCTGGAGAATAATAAATAGTGAAACGGGCAAGGTCAAACCGCGCAACTCGGATTTTCAATTGAATATTAACAATAATTTAACGCGATCTGATCAAGAAGTTGCTATGGCTTTTGAGAAACATTTTACTGATGTTCCTTTTTTGACAACAAAATCATTAAATTCTTCTCCTACTGTCGCCGAATCATTGCTCAAACAAAATGTAAAGGCTTGTTCAAATACTTTTAAATTCCATAGGGTACTGCCAAAAGATATCGTTAAATATTTTAAAGCTATTGATGTTAAGAAAACGGCAGACTTATGGGGGATTTCCGTTAAAGTTATTTTATCTATAATAGATACATTAGCACCTTATCTAGCCACTATATTTAATATAAGCGTCGAATCTGGTGTGTTTCCTGATTTAATGAAACATAGTAAAGTCATACCTATATTTAAATCTGGTAGTACATTAGACCCCGCCAATTTTAGACCAATTTCTGTACTACCAACATTAAGTAAAATTTTTGAAAAAATTATTTTAGATCAGATGTTAAGTTTCTTTAATATTAATAAATTGCTACATAATAATCAATTCGGTTTTACAAGGGGTCGCTCGACAACTGACGCTGGAGTTGAGCTTATTAAACATATTTTTTGTGCATGGGAGAATTCAGAGGATGCTTTGGGTATATTTTGTGACCTTTCCAAGGCCTTCGACTGTGTTCACCATGAGACATTAATCAGGAAGCTACAGTACTATGGTGTCAAGAACACAGCGCTTAAACTTATTATTTCATATTTAAGTAATAGAAAACAGAAGGTTATTATCAATGGTAAAAGTTCTTCCGGGTCACCTGTACTAATGGGTGTACCTCAGGGCTCGATTCTCGGCCCATTCCTGTTTCTGGTGTATATTAATGACTTACCTCACCTTGTAGGGGATAGTCATGATATAGTATTATTTGCTGATGATACTTCCTTGATTTTTAAACTTAAACGTCAATCATTTAAATGTGACGAAGTGAATAATGCTATATCAAAATTAGTGCATTGGTTTAACGTTAATAATCTGCATTTGAACGGAAATAAAACTAATTGTGTTAAATTTACAACAACGAATGTTAAAAATCTGAATACCAATGTGTTTGTAAATGGGGAGGAATTGAGCCCTGTTGTATCCACTGTTTTTCTTGGCATCACTCTTGACGCAAAGCTCCAGTGGGGCCCCCATATATCCAAATTAGCAAGCAGACTAAGTTCTGCAGCCTATGCTGTAAAAAAGATTAGAGGTCTCACTAGTGTCGAGACAGCTAGATTAGTTTATTTTAGTTATTTTCATAGCATAATGTCTTATGGGATTTTGCTATGGGGAAATGCGGCTGATTCAGAAACTATTTTTGTTTTACAGAAGAGGGCCATTAGAGCTATTTACAATCTAAAACCGAGAGAGTCTCTTAGAGATAAATTTAAAGAAATTAATATATTAACTTTGGCCTCTCAGTATATTTACGAAAATTTAATGTATGTTCACAAAAACAAAGATAGTTTTAGTAAAAGAAGTGATATACATTCTGTAAACACTAGGAACAAACACAAGCTAGTGATACCAGTTTCTCGACTCCACAGAGTCAGTAATTCATTCTTGGGGCAATGTATACGCTATTACAACAAGGTCCCGGAAAGTGTACAGGTTCTCTCTATTACCAAGTTTAAATGTTTTATTAAGCTGAAACTGTATAAAAAGGGTTATTATAGTATAAATGAATACATGGTTGATAATAACCCCTGGGAATGAGGTGATCGCTTCCAAGCAGTTTCTAAAATAAATTTTGTAAATAGTTCGTAATCATTTATATTGTAAAATTTATTTTAAAAAAAAAGTCCCGCTGGGTTTCTTGCTGGTTCTTCCCAGGACAGAGGGTTTTTTTCGAACCAGTGGTAAAGTAAAAAATGACTTTCAATAAGAATTACACATGTAATGTATATTGAATAAAAAATATTCTATTCTATTCTATTCTCTATTCTTAATTTGTAAAATTGGATAGATCATAAATACATCAAATAAAAGTTATATAATAGGATGGGTTTTTACATAATTAATTTTTCTTTAATCTACTATAAACAGTTAACCAATTCGTTGCAGCACCGATTTTCGACAACTTCTAACAAATTTCATGACACGCCTGGCGTGTCCAGAAGTTGATGACACGCCTATTGTGCCATCAGCCATGTGTAAAAGTAATTATCTTTTTTATGCTTTTTTCACTTGTTTAGACCTAATTAAGTTTGACATCAAACATCAGTTACAAACGGAAGGATACTTGTTTTAATGGGTAACTATGTGTTTTCTTTGAAATTGAGAGTAAGTGACTTTTTTATGCAGAGATTACAAACCTTTTGTACTATTTTTTATTTTAGCTTGGTTACTCGGTCATATTGTTTGTACCAACAGCTAACATGTAAACACTCTTAGTGCATTGATACTAAAATCTTTTTATCTGTGTATAATAACTAGCAGCTATTATACAGGAACTGTGGACGAAAAACCGAGAACAGGCAACTTATCCACCAGCACTTGTCAATACAGCCAAAACTATGTCAAGGGGTTTGTGAAAGCTAAAGAGTACTTATTCATGGGAGATCACACTGGACGAGGGTACTAGCCTAGCACGCTTGTTCAACATCTAGGCATGCAATTGTAAATTCATCATCTAAACTAAATTGCAAATAGAATATAATAATTTGTACATACAATATTAAAAATAACTCTATTTGGAAGTACAATATTTTACTTTTACCACTGGTTCGGGTAAAACAACTCTGTCCTGGGAAGAACCATCAAGAAATTTGTATTACGTGTTGTATTTTATATGTGGTATTTCGTATTTGGTGGTCTTATAGGTGGTGCTGCAGCTATATTAATAGTATAGTTGTAGCACGAATGGGTCAGCACGACTGGGGAAGGACCACACTCTCACAGAATACCAGCATAAAATAGCAGCTTAATGCTGCTCTTTTCGAATGGTGAGTGTAGAGAACCGGAGATCCTTTTTACTGGAAAAGAGGCATTCTATTGTAGTCCTCACGGCTTACAACGAATCTACAGTTTAATTCGCAAACAAAGATAGATGTAGATGTCTATGGGCCACAGCAACCACTTACCACCAGGTGGACTGTGTGCTCGTTTGTCACCCTTATTCTATAAAAAGAAATCAACACAACTTTATTTCCCACAGTAACACACAATATAAAATAGGTGGCTTATTCAGACTGTTAAAATCAATATCTAGTTGTCGCATGAGTGACTGGGAATTTGGGAAATTAATTCCTTTTAGGTTAATTACTGACTATCTCACCTTTTTAGATTAGTAAGACATGTAGAACGTCGGTAGATTCAGGTGACTGAGGACTATGTTTTCTGGCATTTCGTGGAGGTGATTTCTATGTTTAACAGTGAACTTGTGACGGGCTATAATACTATATATACTATATACATCAATCAATAGAATTTTTTTATTATCTATCTTTATGCAAAAAGGCTTTTATCCTACAAGGATATGTCCTATATATGCTATCAGCCTTATCGTAACATACCTTGTTCTTCTTACACAAATTCTAAGTATTTAAAAAGTGGAAATCAATGTGATAAGAATATGGAAATTAATGATTTTGCCACCGCTGAGTGTGGCTAAGCAATAGCATAATAATCAAGATTATGTATATTTAAATTATACTCATACAGAAAGGTGTCTCTGCAGCAGACAACTTATTCTAGCTTTCATATCAAAAATACCTATTTTGTGTAACATACTATCTTATAATATTTATTTGTACAAGCTCATGTAACATAGTACATTGCTCAACTCTTTCAGATTAATTAAAATATTATATTTTAATAAATACAAAAGTGTGTATTTCACTAAGACTTACTTAAACACTAATATTCCCTTTAATCACACCAGCTAATGCTTGGTTCATGAAAACAGTTGAACGTTATTTGTAACCATTAGGCTACAGTTGCTTTCATAGCTTATTATTCATTCTTCCATAGCTTTTGTACCCCAAAGTTTTACCTCATCTTCACAGGCAGTTAACAAGTAGTTCTCAGTTGGGTGTTGGCTTAACGATACAACTGGCTTTTGTTTACAGTGCACCAATTTCTGAGTACAATTACTACTTATTAAGTCCCAATACAAAACCTCTCCATTTGCGGAGCCCGAAATAATATGACTATCTTTCTCGTTAACAGCATTTTCTAAAAGTAAATCTTTACTCTCATGCCCAGAGAATGTGTTAAGCAACTCTCCAGATTCTTTATCAAAAAGTTTTACTGTGCTATCAGCACAACTTAGCACAAAACACTGTCCGTCATGAGTGATACTACCAAACGTAACTATCTGTCCAATATAATCTGAAGTCATTTTGCCAACTCTTATATCATATAAACGCATATGACAATCCACTGAACAAGTCAATATTTCATGATTAGTTACCTGTACAGCAGTAATTGTGTCTTTAGCATCCTTTAACACTTGCACTGGCTCTTGTCTTCTACTCAAGGTGTCCCAAAATGCAACTGTATTGTCTACTGAACCAGAAACGGCCATTGTTGATTCTTCATTAAACTTAACACAGGTAACAGTGCTCGCATGACCACGATATCGCCTTATTGGTTGACCTGTGGTCACATCCCACAATATTACTGATTTGTCTGAGCTACAAGAAACAAAATGGCTACTATCACATGCGCCGGCCGCGTCAAGCACTTCGTTGGCATGGCCACCATAAGTTTTTAAATGAAGTTGTTTATGCGGATTCCACAACTTAATTTTCTTATCGGCACCACACGTCAGGCAGTATGAACCATCCACATTAAAACGCACTGCTCTTATATTCTGTTGTTTGCATTTTATTGTAACTAACGTTGAGAGCTCAGGTTCACTCATTATTATTTCATCTATTATATCACGATTTATTTTTAATTATGGTACAAATGCAATACACTTGTGGTATTCGGAAGTCTTCTTTCGCGACAAATAATTAGATTATAGAAACGCATCTCATTAAACGATTGATATTTCATATGAGAATCCGTCGGAAACTATTATATAGATATTTTTTATTCTACTTTCTCATTTAGTCTTGTGCTACACATAAATCCAAAATATTTATATTTATTATAAATAAAAAAGAATGACAAAAGTTGTGTTGTTGTTGTTGTTTTTATTATTCGCTCGAGAGAGCAGGCAAAGGAACTAAGTCATACAGCCTTGTCTTTTTTATATTATCCTTCATAGTTCACTGCTTCACAATATGTCGATGCGTCACATTGTGCAGCCCTTGGGAGATTTTGACGGTAACTTGAGCCAGCAGCCAGCTGTCAGTTGGCGATGGTATCTAAAGTAGCTTGCTACATATATATTTATCTATGATCTAAAGGCGCCTATGCAGACAAACAGCTTATCTTGAGAATCCATCACCATCAGAGCACTTGTTTCACCGTTTCCACTAATAGTTCACATGCGTAGACAGTTAATACATAAAATTACATCACTTTTACATATCAAAATCCACTTTAAACTATTATTTAAACTATAATACAGGAGCAGCAAACCGCCGCCGGTCAAGTTCCCGCCAAAACTCGACAAAAGTTGTGAAGTTGACATTTGATTTTTTTAAACTGGCTTTACGGCTCTGGGTTCTAGCCCTTCTGAGCCTGTAAACATTTGACAAGACTTTTTTACGAAGAGTATAGTAACTGTCCTATACAGGAACGTTGTTACGATTAGTATTAGGCCGGTCACATACATACGGAATTCCGTTTTGCATTCCGTTTCTGAATCCCGATTCGGAATTCCGTGAATACATCACACACATACGTTTATTTCCGTACGGAAGAACAAGAGTCAGCGTAGAGACGTTAGTCATTGAATAATGACGACGATTTTCTAATTGCGATTCCATTATGGCTGTATCATTAATACTGGCTGCATCCGCTTTTCCCCCTAAGCTTGTAATATAGTCAACATTGTGTAAAAAGAATAACAGAGATATTTTTTAAATATGGATGCCTGTAAAATCTTTCGACGAATTATTAAATAAAATAAGATGAAAGTTTAATAAAAGCGATGCACCTATAATATTAAATGTTAAAACATACATAAACACATCTACTCGCTTCGGTCGTGCGACGAACACTGAGTGCGTTTCGTACGGAATTTAGGTATGTGTTGCGACTCATATAAAATCTATGGAAGACTTGCGTTCGGAGTGGCTTTTTTCCGTTGGGGATTCCGAACGCACAGACGGTCATACGGAATCTTGAACTGGAATCAGGCCACATACATTTGGAATTCTGTATCGGGATTCGGTTTCGATATTCCGATTAGGAATTCCGAACGAAGCAAGTTCATATAAAATCTATGAACCGCCACACGCGTACGGTAATTTTCCGTACGGAATGTCCTCCGAAAGGATCTCCTTTTACATAATATTGACTATATTGCAAGCTAAGGGTGATAAGGGGATACACCCAGTAACGACGATACAGCAACAATGGAATCGCAATCAGAAAATTGTCGTTATTATTCGCTGGCAGAATGTCTAGATTCTATGGCTAACGTCTCTCAACTGAGCCTTGTTATTCCGAACGGAAATAAACGTATATGTGTGATGTATTCACGCCATACAGCCTAGTCTGAATTGTATTTTATTCATAAAATTCTTCACTGATGAGCCACATAACGAAATTCCAGCGAACAGTTAGTGACTATAATATCTCAAAGTATATGTTTATGTTCAAATTTATTAATTTTCTCTTTGGTATAGTCATCATCATCATCGTTTCAATATCAACATTATCACAATTCATCAAAGTTTCTTGGTTGTCCATCAAAAGCTGGCAACCGCAGTTTGTAATTAGCTTGCTACGTATTTATTTATCTATGTTTGTAATTTTCTAGTTCACATTTGGAAGACGCTACTGTCCGTCTCGTGGCTTGTTACCCTCTCCTGCATCTTACGACACTCACAGCACAGTATGGGGTAGTAGAATGATTTTAATTTTTAAATCCCACGGTGTAGGACCGTGTGTACCGTTTGGTATTACAATGTATTTAATTATTCATATTTCATTTACATCATCATCATAATGCACAAATTGCTGATGCGTCATATTATTCAGTTTATTCGGAAATTTTGACAATAGCTGAACAAAGCGGACAATTATGAAGACATTATGGCGGATTGTTGTTCCTGTATCATCGTTTGAATATTGGTTTGAAGTAGATTTTGAAATCCATAAGTGGTACGATTTTGTGCAGTCTTTCTTTTTTTTTTGTGAAATCTATGCAAAAGCGATATAACAAGTTTACCAAGTGCTTCGATGGTGATACAAATCTCATTTTCATATTCTTTTTGGCTAAAGGTCTTATAGCTTAATCTGAACGCACATTTGTCAGCACCGTACGTGCCGCATTTTAGAATTAGTTGTATGAAATCATTTTCTTTTTTTTTATAGGAGAGGGGGCAAACGAGCATGCGGCTCACCTGATGGTAAGTGACTACCGCCGCCCATGAACAACCGCAACACCAGGGGAATTGCAGATGCATTGCCGGCCTTTTAAAAAGAAGTAGGCTCTTTTCTTGAAGGTCCCTAAGTCGTATCGGTCCGGAAAAATCGCTGGTGGTAAACTATTCCACAAGGAAGTTGTGCGAGGAAGAAAACATCTTCTAAATCGCACAGTGGTGGACCGCCAATCATCCAGATGGTGTGATGGTATCGGGAGTTCTGCCGCGATGTGCGTTCGTGAAATTTGGCGGCTGGGATTAATCCGAACAATTCCTCAGAGCACTCCCCATGGTAAATGCGAAAGAAAATGCTAAGAGTCTTCGCAGTGCCAATGAGTCGAGCCGATCGGAAATCATATGAAACCTCGCACATTACACCCGCACCATACGCGCTGTATTTTATAAAATGCGATAGGTATCCGAATATTGAAGGTGGTATGCTGTTGATGTCCTGCAAGTTACTTAAAAAAGTATCCAAAATAAGAATTTTAGTTTTTAGTGGGGTAGTTTTAAATTTTCAACTTCAATTTGAAAATACAAAAAGGAGTTTCCATAGGTTCTAGCTGACTTTAAAAACTTTACAGGTCACCAAGCTATCCGAAACATTTAAAGAAAATTGGTACTTAATGGGCTATTATTCGCTGTAATCGCCCTTCGAAGGTGAATAGGCTAAAAATCCACAAAAAATTTCAAGCTTTAAAAATTATTTTGCTTATTTTTGTCACTCTTAGGGCAAATTATCAATTGCATTGAAATGTATAAAAATTGACCAGTGAAGATAATTTAAGGTAAGATGATAAATTGTAAAAATTCAAAGATGTTTTGATTCCAAGATGAAATTTTGGTGTTATTTAATTTTACGGTCATTTGGGTTTATTTATATATGAAAACAAAAAAAATAGACAAAACTTTATTATTTTAATTCTTTATCAAAGCAAGTTTTCAAAATGACGTCCTCCTACTTCAATACAACGACAACAACGTTTTAAAAAGTTATGTTTTAACTGTCTGAAATAGCGTGTATGCTCATTTATAATTTTTCTTGCAGTTATTTCCAGATTTTCTCTTAATTCTTCTTCATTGTCGACTTCCCGAGCGTACACCAGCTCCTTGTAAAATCTCCAAATAAAAAAGTCGATATGATTGAGATCTGGCACACGTGCAGGCCATTCGATCGGCCTTGCACGCTCAATTCATCTTTGTGGAAGAGTTTCGTTGAGATGCTGTCTTACTGGTCTTGCGTAGTGGAAAGGAGCACCGTCATTTTGAAAAATAATTTATTGTCGTACCGTAATGTTCACGTCTTCCAACAATTCATAAAGGTGTTGTGGAACCGATTACCATCAACGATTTTTCCGGACCGATACGACTTAGGGACCTTCAAGAAAAGAGCCTACTCCTTTTTAAAAGGCCGGCAAAGCATCTGCAATTCCCCAGGTTCCCCTGGTGTTGCAGTTGTTCATGGGCGGCGGTAGTCACTTACCATCAGGTGAGCCGCGTGCTCGTTTGCCCCCTCTATTATAAAAAAAATGATTGTTGAAGTGATTTTGTAAAAAAATTCAAATAATCCATCTAACCTGGATCAAAGGGACTAATAAATTCTCCATTTAGGATCCCAGACCACAGGTTTACGCTAAAGTGGTGTTGGAAGTTCGATGCCCTTGCCAGACGTGGGTTTTCGATGGCCCAGCAATGGTAATTATGATTATTAAAAGTTCCAGTCCTTTCGAATCGGGACTCGTCTATACAAAGTATTTTTTTTTTTTTTGAAAAATCAGGGTCTTCTTCAGATCTCTGTAACATGGTTTCACAAAATACTACTCTTCTTCGGTAGTCAGAATCCTGAATCTGCTGGACGCGCTGGACATGGTAACCTTCTGCAAAACAAAGAAAATCCAAAAAAGAACTCATAATTATATAATAGTATTATAAGTTAGAATTTTAATACTCGTGTTACAGCATTCTTTAAGGCTCACCTTTATTAAGAATTTATTTATTTATTTATTCTTTATTGCATTCCTTAATCTAAAAGAATACAAAGGGCGGACTTAATGCCTTGAGGCTTTCTCTACCAGACAACCCAATTCTTAGAACCGAAGTTCGTGGAACTCCAGTTCGTGTTGCTATTCTTCTTGAACTTGCAGAAGGGTCTTTTTGGACATCTTTAACGACTTTGTCAACTCCATCCGGATTCCGGGGTACTGGTTCGCGAGATTGATTGCGACCGGGGACACTTCCAGCCATCAGGGTGTTATGTACGTTAATAAAAACCCTATGATCCTACCGTTTACCTATATATTATAACGAACGTCAGAGTTAATGTCCGGTTGACTGTATTAGATGACATAATACTTATAATAAACCCAACCACTATGTA